CATAATGTAACCGGTAGTGTTTATGATAAAAAATAAATAAATAATAATAATTATGTGATTGGTATCGGTGATCGGCCCTCATGGGTGATCGGTATCGGTATCGACAAGAAAAAACCTGATTGGCACATCTTTAGCACGTAGATCGTAAATGAAACATAGCAGTCTGTTCTGAGCACTGCGGTAATGCAATTAGTTTTATTTGATCATGTTAATAATACATTTCCTTTGTGCTTACAGATCCACCTCTGAATGTGAACATCAAAAAACAACCAAAGGGTCTGGTTTTCACCTGTGAGGCTGAAGGCAACCCAAACCCAACAGTTACCTGGAGCAGGTGCAGTAGTTTTGAATAACTGTTCCTTTATTTAGTCATCCTAAAGCAGTCTTGAATAACGAGTAATTTTTATCACCAACCCCAGAGGTTTGGTTATCATTCAGGCAAATTTAGCTTGGAGAGTTCAGATAATGGTTTAGCATGAGTCAAGTAAATAATGGCTATAGATGCTTGTTTTTTGTTTGTTTTTGTTTTCTTTGTCAAACTTTAATATTAGATCATGAAACTTATTTTAATATCCAACATAACCTGAGGGTTTCTGTGCATAGAGGGCCTCTTAAAGACTAGTTGTTGCGATTCCTGTAGTCACTGTGAGCTTTTGCTTCTGTTATGTCCTTGTTTTTATGTCTTATTGTCAGTATTTTTCTCTTACCCTAGCTTATTCCCTCTGTTAGTTCAGTTATTTCTTGAGTTTTGGATTTGTTTTCATTTAGTATGTATTTCAACTTTCCATTCTAGTTTATTCCTTTTGTTAGTTCAGTTATGTCTTATTGTTGAGGATTGGATTTGTTTGTTAGATCTAGTATATATTTCTGTTGCTGTTTAGGTTTCTTTCTGGTTGAGTCTTTGTTTTTGTCAGTTCATAAAGTTTGCCATTTATCACTCCCAGCTGCTTTCCATTTCTTCATCCAGTCTCATTTGGTTTCTCCCTAGGCCCATAGGCCCATTAACTGTCAGGCTTTTCACAAGTTTTCATTTTGTTTTATCAGGCTACATAATATTTTTCCAAAGGTCTTGGGCATAATGAATATGTTTTTGGAAAGTATAAAATGGAGCTTTGAGCTCTGTTTGGTCAGCAGTGGTTTTGACCTGGATCTCTAATTTTTGCAGACTCTTTTTTTTTGCCATCATGAACACCCATCTAGACTGAGAAAAGTGGTCCGTTAGTGCTTTAGATGTTATTCAGCTTCTTTTGTGAGCTCTTGGATGAATCATTAATGGTTTTTAAAGTTATTTTACTGGAACATTCTCTCCATTTACAGATAACCTATCTTACTGTGGTTTCCTGCAGTCTAAACTCCTTACAAATACCTAAATCGCCTGATTTAGGTATTTGTAAGGAAATCACCTGCTTAGAGTTTATTTTTCATCTAATCTGAAATTTCTCTAATTCAGGGCACAACGTGTTGCTTTTTAAGGTCTTAAGAAGTAGTAGTACTTCTTGCTACTTCATGTTCTGTTGTTAATTTTGCATATTGCATGATAATAAGTCCTGTGAATGGTTTGTAAAATGTCACTGAATACTGTTTCATAGCACTATTCAGATGTGGAAAATTTGGTAAATTTGTCATTACTTTCTTTTAATAACAGCAATCACTCTTTAAAACAGTTGACTGCTGTAATAAATGTAACAACTATATATACAAAAATATATATGTAGCAAAAAAAAAAAGTGTGATTCCAAGTCTCATCAGAGATGTTTATACCAAGTTCTTCTGACCATTCTGGTCTGATCTCATTGAGCTTTAATGTATTGAGTGGTAAAATGCTATTATACATTTCTGAGACGAGACCTATACATTGTGTAAGAGTTTGCAAAATGATGTCCATTCCTCCCTTTGGGGGTAAACTGGGAAAGCAGGGACTGATATTACAAACAAAATCTCAAATCTGGAGACAGCGGAATAGGGTGGAACACTTTAAATTAAATTTAGAGGAAAATATACCGTATTTTCTGGACTATAGAGCTCACCTCAATATAAGCCGCACCCACAAAGTTTAAAAACAAAAAACTGGAAACGTACATATATAAGCCGCTGGTATCTCCACCGCTCTTGGTTTTCCACAATAAATATGCTATTAAGGACGCAGCCCTCTATCTCCAACGCTGAACCATGGACTCGTTCACACCGAGCTTATGTGCAGCGGCTGTAATCAATGTGATTATTTCACATTGAGAAATATGAAATAATCATATGTTTTATCTTCTGCCTGCGTCTTTTCAAACAATTTATGCAAAATTGGCATGTCCTTTTTGTTTTATCGTTTTTCTTCCCCGTTTCATTTTTATTGTTTTAGATAAATAAATTAAAAGCATTTATAAAGGTTTATGAGGAGATGGCACTGGAGCTTCAACTATATACAACTTGTATGTAATAAGAACTATATACTCGTAAAACTGTGAGAATGAGCTCTGACTGGAAGGCTGCTACCACTTCTGAAAATGAAGGCCTGTTTTTTTTATCAAACAAGGCGTCTTATGAAACGTCTTGTCAGCTGCATGCCATATGGTTATCACATAACGCATTCCATCCAAAACGACTCCTGACTTCTTCCAACTCAGGAAAGTGTCGGTGAGGGATCACCTTCAGTGTTGAGCCAAAATATACTTCAGTGTTATTTTTCTGCTTTTATATGTGGTTAGTTATTCAACTGAGAATCAAACTAATTTACAAATGTTGTATCTGGCTTGAGCAACTACGTTATAAGTTTTACAAAAGTGTGTGTATGGATAATCCTCAGTAGGATTTTTCAGCTAAAGTAAAGTGTAACAATTAAAACATCTCAAAATTATGGTAATTAAAATTTGTAAAACTATGCTTGCATTACCTTAGAAGCTTTAATGTTCATCAGTTCGTTATCCATATGTAATTTGTAAAGCCATATTTCTAATCCTGTATGATTCTTGTTTTCAGAACACAGTCCTATCAACTACGCTCCTTTTGTTAGTACATCAGTCATAAATGCACCTGCTTTGGGGCCTTATTTTCCAACAAAGCCGTTATTGTGACATTAAATAGACATGAAGCCAACCAGTTTACCTGGGGCATAATGCTTCTTCTTATGTATTGCACTGTCAAGGAAAAAAGGTATTTATGAAAACAAGGGTTTTACAACACTGTGATGGGTTAAAACAGAGTGGCGCATGTGGAAAATTTTACTCTGAGGGCATTAGTTTTATTTTTTTTTAACAGTACCTAAAATGTTATTCAAATTCTCTCTCTTTTTACTTGCATAAAAGAGCTTGTCCAGACATGTCCATACTTGAATATAATGACTAAACTGAGTTCCTCAAAGGCGCTATCAATTTAGGTTTGATCTTGTATCTCAGGTCTTCCCCTGTGTTAGTTTAACTCACTGTCTTAGTTTAACTCAGTGAGTTAAGCTAACACAGGGCCTTCTCCTCATTCCAGCTTAGTGAGCATGAATTGCAAGAGAGTACATGAAGAAAGAGTTGCGAAATGGGGAGAAAACTTATGGCTCAAGCTCATTTTGTAAAACCAGCAAACGTGGAGTAATGAAATCAAAGGTAACTGTTAGATCCCCTGAGATTTAGGGCTTTTAGCAATCTTTCTATTTAACCCTCTGATGCGTAAGACCTCACCTTTTTGACCCGGTGAGGTAATCTTTTTGCAATATCTTTGTAATGAAAAGTTTTCATCACTTCATATTTCAGGTATTCCTCAAGAAACATGTTACTGATATTATGCAATTCAAATTTTTAATTTACCTTTTATACATTTTAAGAAATAGCATGGTTTATGTTACTACCCCCATTCTTCCGTGAGTGGGTCCAAAATGACCCGCATTCATTTCCTATGGAATTTAATGGGAATCTTGGTTTCTTACCAACTGTGACTGTCAAGGAACACATCTTTTTGTGAACCAAACACACTGAGACCTAAGTGTCTCCCCTGAGTAATAATATTTTACACAGCAAGAACTCTTACATATAAGTATTATCTTTATTTTTTTATCTCACAAATGTGTTTGTGTGTGTCAATCATGAGTACTGTGACAGCGTTATTGTCACGAATCAGCATATTAGCCTTCTTCAAAGTTAGCTAACACTAGTTACCTAACCAACTAGCTAACATTACCACCTATACTTTATTGTGCATGTGTATTATTTGTGTGTGTGTGTGTCTGTGTGTGTGTGTCTGACATCTTGGATGAGAAAACCAAAAGAGAGTGTGTTGAATGACATACAAAACCTGTTGATCAATGTGTTCAAGGTTCTTTCTTTTATCATCTTAATAAATAAAATACAAATTCATAGCTATAGAAATAAATGCATAAATAAACGAGCCAGAAAAGTATAGAGGGCCTTCTTTGGGTCGGGGAGGAAGTCCTGCCCCAAGTGGAGGAGTTCAAGTTTCTCAGGATCTTGTTCACCAATGAGGGAAAAATGGAGCAGGACATCAACAGGCGATTGGTGCAGCATCTGCAGTGAAGCAGGCGCTGTACCGATCTGTCGTGGTGAAGAGAGAGCTGAGCCAAAAAGGGAAGCTCTTTATTTACTTGTTGATCTAAGTTCCTACCCTCATCTACGGTCATGAGCTTTGGGTCATGTCCGATAGAACGAGGTCATGGATACAAGCGGCCAAAATTAGTTTTCCCTGTAGGGTGTCTGGGCTCTCCCTTAGAGATAGGATGAGAAGGACAGATATCCAGGAGAGACTCAAAGTAGAGCTGCTGCTCCTTCATGTTGAGAGGAGCTAGTTGAGGTGACTTGGCATCTGGTTAGGATCCCTCCTGGACGCCTCTGTGGTGAGGTGTTATGGGCACATCCCACCAGGAGGAGGCCTGGGGAAGACCCAGACACGCTGACGATGATTCTCAGCTGGTCTGGGAATGCCATGGGTTCCCCCAGAGGAGCTGGGGAAAGCAAACTCTGAGTCTCCTTACTTAGGCTGCTGACCCCGCGACCCGACCCCGGATAAACGGAAGATGGATGGATGGATGGATGGATGGATGGATGGATGGATGGATGGATGGATGGATGGATGGATCATACACACACTCACATGCATGATACACATAGCATAATAGAACAGAGACAGTAATGTTAGCTTGCTTGGTTAGCTAGCTAGTTTCAAGAAAAGTGCTCTTTTGCAGCCTCCCCCCATGCCCACACACACACCCACACACACACTTAATGGATGTTAACATTGTCCATTATTGACATTTCATCATTGTTGTAAAATTGCTGCTGTTGTCATTTTGTTTTAAAAATGTTCTACAAATTGTCAGAAATGCTCTACAAATTGTTCTAAAAACGTTTAAAAAAGTGAAAAATGAAAATATTTCAAACATGAAATAATTTTTGGGTGACATAAAACACAGTAGAAAGTATTATACAAAACATTATTTTGAATCAAAATGACAAAAGTAGCATAAAAACACACTGATTGTAACCCGGGTCAAAAAGGACCCACTCACGGAAGACTGTGTAGTCAGTCACTCGCGCATCAGAGGGTTAAGACTGTGCAATCATAGATGTGCAAAATGTGTTGTTGCGTATTCCGACTACTTCAATCTGTCGCCCAAGAGATCAGGAGACAAAATACGTTGGATTGTAAATGCTGAACCACACCAAAGTAAACACCAAAGGTGTGGTCTCTGTTCTAATCTTACATGAGCACAATAAAAACATAACAGCTCTGCACCTGCTGATGGACTGAATGTTCCCCTACGCCTTAGGGCGTAGGGGAACTGGTGGGACAGCAACTGCCTTAATATACTGGAAAAGTTTAGCAATGCATGAATGGAGGGAATAATGGTAACATTTCTCTATAGAATGTGACATCATTCAATAAGACAATATAACAAGACTTATTGGGGATTGTTGTGGTGGAAAGAATTATTACCAAGCACTGTTCAGGTAAAATCACTCAATCAGATTTATTTATCAATTGTGCACCACTCAGAGAGCTCTAGGACAATCGATCATGTAGCAATTCTGGATGGAAAGCTCTGCCAGGCAGAGACAACACATGAGTTTTATACCACGGATAAGGAATTCAAAACAAATGGGTGAGACAGTCTGCTTCTCATGCAGCTGTAGAAACAACTTCCAACCTTGTACATGTAACCCAAATATTTATTTTGGTGAGAGTTCACAAGCATTTCATATAACATGATCAGCAGATGCTAACTTATAGTAATTTTCCACTACAGGATGAAGATGTTTTTGCTGATGTTCTTGCATGTAAGCTGCGACTTAGCTTGAAACAGACCATGGCATGCATTGTTTTCCACGATAGCTAAGAAAGTAGACATTTTGGAAACATAAAGCTAGGTTTTAAATTGGTTGTTGTAAGAATGTGATTTTTTTTTTGTTGTAAAAGATCACTTTTATATTTGTAAGTTTCTTCCTAGCTGGAAAAATCAACTACTTTTTGTCCATATATTTAAGACTGTGTTCTTGAAGCTTCACGATAATGTTCTTGTGTTTTCTATGGCAACTTTCCAAAGAGACAAAACGGGTCCTGCCTTCCACGTATATTATCACGTATGTGTAAAAGGATCAATAGCAACGATTTTCCCTTTTGAACTACATGCAGTTTCCCATTAAGGGTACAGAGTCCTCTGTGGTGAGCCTCAAATACAGGAGTCATAAACTGACTCAGTCTGAAGTTTTTGTTGATTCCTGTGAACCTCCAGAGTTCTGAAACTTGAAACGAGCTCATCTTCAAACTGCCCTCCTCAAGTAGGCAGCCAGATTACTCCCTACAAGTCTGAGTTAATTTGCGCTCAGTGAAAAGGAAATGAATGTCTCCAAACTATCATTGTATCAGAGTCTCCCCTTCCTGTTCCTCCGTCCTCTTTATAAAGATGCCAGACTTTCACTTTAAAGATTAAGAAACCGGAGTTCCTGATTTATCTCTTTCATGGAACAGGTTCAGTGATTTTTGGCTACTGCGGTTGGAATGAGTTCCTGCGACCTGACTCCGGATATGCAGAAAGAACTGTACCAGACTCCAAGAATCTCACACTTCACTAAATCTTTATATAAGCTGAGCCATGAGTTTGAACCATAAACCGTCTGGGACTGCCTCATTTCATCTTCACCTTTCATTAGTTGGAGCACAAGCTAATCTCTTGTTTTCAGTGACCTCAACTGCCTGTAACAAGACAAATTGAATAAACATTCACATGAAGCAATTGTTTGTTTAAACAGAAAAAAAAAAAACCTGCCCAATTGAAGGGTTTCACACAGAAAACTTGCTAAGCCATTTGGTCGGAGCGGCGAGGCGGATCACCAGCGGTCCACTGTGTTTTTGTATTAAAAGATGTTAATTTGACAGGAAATGTCAAAACATTACTGGGTAATACAAAAAACAATTAAAATGAATATCAATTATTTACACTTCTGTTTAATCCAAATTTTGTTTAGGGAGAATATCAATGCTGCTAAGTTTGATTTGTTTCAACATACATGAATGAAAAGATTTTAAACTGTTTGACAGTTAAATTTAAGATTTTAAGGAGCTGGCAAACTTACTTTGTAAAATTTCAACTCATCTTTTAGGAATAATTCTGCCCCACCAGTGAAACGGAGGAAAATTTATTTAATTAAGCGCTTTTCTTTTTTTTTTTTTTCTTTTGTTCTTTCATCAAGCACTGCTTAGCCTGGCAGGGGTTGGGGGAGGGGCAGGTAAAGCCTTATAACACACTGGGGAAAACCCTGCAATAAAACACTGAGTCACTCATCACTATGGGATGAGTGCTAAAAAATGTGGATGGGTCATTTTCAGTGAAAAACTATAAAAGACCCTCTTTTAAGATCTGAAGTTGTTACAGCTGATTTTACTGTGTCCCCTCCTAAAAGCCCCACTGTGTGTCATTATGTGCACAACAATGATTAAAGTCATAAATTACTGACGACACAGAATAAATGTGGGTATAACAAACCCACCCATGCCTGGTGGTAAACATGGGCGTAGTTAAGTTTTCTGTGTGATCAAGACAGTTACAGTTTCCTAGAGTAAACGCCCACAGTGGGCGTTTTCCTAGGTTAATGTAAGTAATTTAATTTAATTTATTATCCTGAACCGTCATTCCTTTGTGACCTGTCATTTACCATGACGCGGTATTATGTGTGTAACTCCTCTGTGTGCTAAAACGTTATCTTGACTTTTTCTCGCAGGTCAGGCGACGTTCTGTCTCCATCAATCTTGGCTCAGGGGGCCTCGCTGACATTTGTGAAGGAATCTCAAGACCTGGCTGGTGTCTACCAGTGTGACGCAAATAACAAATACGGAAGTTACCAGAGTTTCCTCTACGTGGATTTCTCAGGTGATAATTTGTCTTTGACCTGTTTTAAATAAGCTATTTATGCTTTCTGGGGAAGTATTTTCTGTACATTTTCAAGCAAGTATTTGGGGATGTGAATATTTTGTTCTTTAATAATCAATGTTCTCCTCAACTTCTCTAAATTTGTAGTATTTTGTGCAGTGGCTTGTTTGAACTGGGGTTGTTTCAGTGGTCGGTGTATTTTGGTTTCACTCGCAGACAGCTTATCTGTGTCTGCAAATAGTACTCGAAACAAAGGTCACTTTGTACACCAGCATATCTTCTGGTAGGGGAGAAGTAAAAATAAAGGAAATAATAAATCCATCACCTGGAATACATCGTGTGCTCCAGGTTATGACACATTTAATGGACATAACCCAGTATATTTCCCCTTTATGCCCCTGTGTAAAGACACGTGATAAACCAGCTTCTGGAGGAACAAAAGGCCGTTATGAAACTAATCCCCTTCAGTCCCAGTAGACGGTTTAACATTATGGCTTTAATCAGCTGTCATGATAAGTTTGTTGAACTTCCGTATTTTATTGCAAAGGTTCCAACAAACTGTGAGTGTGCATAAAAAAAAAATCTACTGATACTACTGAAACCATTTTTGATTTTGAGAAAGTTACAACCATATTTTTCCCTACAAATTAAAATCCGAATCATGTCTTGTGAATTTGTATTCAGCCCACTTTTACACCAATACTTGATCGCTCGGTAACTTGAGCTTTGAGTTTCACTTGTGTGCAGTAAAACCCTTCAGTCGACGTTGAAGAAACTTGATTGCATGTAATTAGTAGTGAAGGGAATGCTGTATGTAATTTACTGACTGCGTCTCCGTTCATGCTAGCCGCACAGTTTTCTACCATTAACTGCACTTACGCATTGACAACCAAACGCTATTTCAAATGTCTTTCGCTCATTGCAGACAAAATGTCTTAAAATCTTCCATTCTTTTCTTTTGCTGTTGAGATGACTAAATCCTTCAGGATCCTCAGTCTTTATTTTGTAATTTCGAGCGTACCCCGAGCACATAAGTGCTCAAACTTGACTGCAATGTTTTTTTCAATATAGAGAAGATGGTTCTCCAGTAACAAAGCAATAATAAATGAGAGTAACGAGGAGACATTCTCTACCGCTATTTACTGCATAATAACCTTGTGAAACACGTCTTGCATAAGATCCAAATGAAACCATTTAAATGTTTTTATGGAATAGAACAAACTAAAGAAGTCTGAAAGTACTTATGCAAGCCACAGACTCACATATTCCAGGCAGTATATTTTATTATCAAACCTATTTCAGTCAACAACATTGACTGGTTGCAGTTCCAACTGGAAAAAAAAGAAAAAAAAATACAGTTTAGGTCACAGCAAACTTGCTAACTTGTTTTCTACAGAAAAAGGGTGTTACTATGGGACAGGAAATTCTGCTGCGCCTGCAGGCTGAAAGTCCTTCATCAGGACAAAAATCAATGGGGTTGTTTTTTCCTATCTGCTGAGTTTCTGTCCTTCCTTCACTGCTGCAGATTGTTGTATTTGGAGGTTTTTGCCCTTCTGACAGGAAACAAAACCATCATTTCATCAGCAGCTTGACAGGGTTTAAACTAAAAGGTTTATGTGCAGAGTGCTGTGCACTGCCAAGCTTTCTATTCTGCAGACTAACATCAACACGGGAAAGCATTGTATTACACAAACTCCAAAATTTGTGTGTTTCTCTTTGAAGCCTGAAGCTATTATCAGTATGTTTTTGGACCTGTGGACTCTTTGACCGGGAGCTTAACTTCTGAGAAAAAACCCCAATAATTACCCAATTCTGTGTGCGAGAGGCTGACATGTTTTTGGTGCTTAATGGTGCGGGGGACTGTGTCCATTCCAACTGTGAGATCTTTGTAGTTGAAAGGATTTGGTCTTGTTACAGGATGAAAAATTCTGCTTATATAAATGGCTACTATGCAAGGCAGAAGGATGGGGTCAGCACGGCCACTCCTGTTTTAAGTTTTGTTTTGATGAGTTTGTGCGGAAGTGTAGACTGTGAAACGGCCCTGAAGTTAAATATAGCATTATGCTAGAAGAGAAGCTACACAACCAGATGTTGAATGAAACAGTTTATGTGATTCTTGTGCTGGAATGACAGCTCAGACTTATCTTTGGCAGTACTTTAAAAAGCTCAGAGAAACATCCAAATGATTTTTCTGTATTAGATACAGGAGGCTAAATATTATTAACTAATTGGGTTGCTTCTGAAGGTAGTTTGTTGAAATAAACTTTTTATGTAAAAACATTTGTTGTTTTTCCCCCCCTTTCCTTTGCAATTGTGCTCTAATTTGTGTTGGTCTATCTTGTAAAATCACAATATAATTTAGGTTTTAGTAAAACAAAGTGTGCACTCTAGTAAACTTTGTCAGGAGCCCTGTTATGTAATCAGCCTGGGTCTGGATTTCCATCTGTGTGGCCTTTCATGGCATGTTATGAGCACCACCCAGGGACTCATAATCAACCAGTAAATCCAAAAGTGGTGAAAAACAAAACCAAAACATACAGATGAATATTTCCATGTCTTCAAATATTCATTTGAAGACATGGAAATAGTTTATCAGATCAAACATTTCTGTCAGCAGCCTGATGCAACCAGTCATTTAATCTGATTTACTTTCATTAAATATTTCAACTAAACAGCACAGGTTTTCTTTCTTACTTTTTTTAAAGAGTAGAAATTGGAGAACGACACGCATTTTCAACAGACTGCAGTGCTTCAGGAAACATGCAAGTTGTCATCAACATCCCATTCCAACAGGTTTTATGTGGTTAATTGGAGGCATGTTGAGTTCAGAGGGGAGGAAACTTTTTAAACAATGACATCAGTTTCTTGAACACAATTTTTGTGCAAGTTGAATAATATGTCAGAGGAGACGCTACCTCAACTGCATATACTTGCCAAGCCACTGCATATTTTAGTCAGGCAAAAACATAGGCTATCGGCTTCTATCCCCTCTCTTGCACTGTAGTCTTTGGCTCTTTGGGCACCAGACATATTCTGGTTTGCTGCAGTTCTTGTTTTTAAGTTCTAGTAGAAGCTACATGTTGAGCTCTGTGAGAGTTATGTAAATCATATACGACATTTTACCAGTTTGTCAAACAAAATCAAGTTTTTAATTAACGTTTTGCGTTTGTGTCTTGTTTAACAGTAACAAGCTCCATAACTGGCTGGATTTTTTTTAGTATTCTTCTTCTGATCATTGTGGCAGCTGGCTTTGCTGCATTTCTGCACAAACGTGGATGTTTTGAACTTCCGAGGTAAAAGCTACAACAGCCTTTAACCATTAACTCTGATGCCATTTTAAATTCATCCTGCTCAAGTTATGTCTTGTTTTTACTTGTCAGGTTTCTAAGGCCTGACAGAGACGCAGTGCGAACATCCTCACCAGACGAAGCAGCAAATGAAAATGCTGCACTATAACACCAGAGGGAAAGAGATGGATCCTAATACGTCCAAGCAAATACTAAAACTTAAGCTTGTAAGTCATGCCACTGCAATGCATTTTCTTCTTTTTGTAGTTTTTACATGTAAATGTGTGTGTTTTAAAATACGTTTTAATGTGTGTATTCTATGTATAATTTATTGAGTTGTTCTTTCTTTTATTTTGTGTAATGCAACAACTTTGTTTTTAACAATAGCCCACCTTCTCCCCCATTTCTCACAAATCTTTTGGAGATTTAATTTTAGGCTAACCAGATGTGTGAATTGTCTGTTTTAGGACCATCTTTGGCAGAGATTGAAACAACAGGATGCTGGCTTGCTGACTCGATTCCTGCCTCTGTCGTTGTGTCCTTTAGCAAAACACTCCACCCACCTTGCCCGCTGGTCAGAGGGTGCATGGCAACTGTGCTGCTATCTGAGGCTTCATGGAATATTTTGTGTCTCATCACTTCCTGCTTCTTCAACAGATAAGCTGCTCGACGCTTGGCATTTAAATGGGAACTAACCAGAACTAGCCCTCCAATCATCAAATCAAAGCCAAGGATATTGTTGCCAAAGTAACCCTGATTGTCAAGGAACAGAAAAGCCCGATATTTAAGTTCAACTAAACCAGGGGTTACCAACTCCAGTCCTCGAGGGCTACCACCCTGTAACTTTTAGATGCGTCAAATACCTGGATCAAATAAACTGCTCGTTTCCAGCCTATTGCAGAGAGGAATGAATGCTGGTGAGACGTTTTGGAGCAGAGGTGAATCTAAAAGTTGCAGGATGGTAGCCCTCGAGGACTGGAGTTGGTGACCCCTGAACTAAACCTTATTGATGTATGTTTCCTCCTAACACTCTCTATCCCACGCCAAAAAGAAAAAGGATTTCCATCCCCTCTGGGTCAAACATCCTCTTTATGACTGTGACATCACGGCTGTCACCTGAGAATCCTGACTTTGTGCCTTAAAGTGCTAATGTAGCCTGTGATTGGTTTGGCCTCCAACTCCACATTAATAACTGAAGGATGTTGTTTATTTAAGAAGGAAGTCAGTGAACCAGAACTGCATTATGTAAACAGTTTTCCACTACCATACTGATGGACACTATTTTTACTAGTTAAGCTGAACTTTATTGTTTTTAGTGAAAACATGAGAATTTGCAGTGAATAATTTGACTTAGTTTTCCAACACTACACATTTATTTTAGTACTTCAGCTGCCAACATTAGGGTTCCCTTTTGGTTACTTTTCTTCCCACTGCTGTTGTGCATCATAAGCAGCTCTACGTTTAGGTCTGATTCAGATTCCAGTGAGCAAAGCATTTCATGTGCCATTTTTATATTTGAAAACAATTATATAGAAAACCCCATGTCTCGTCTTTAGAGCTGATGCAAGTTTTTTGTAGAGAAATGCAGTGGAATAACTTTTTCGCTACACCAGTAAAATCTATTTTTACGACATTTTTGGATATTTCTTTGCTTTGAGAAATATCCATTTCACAGCTGAATTTTCCTATGTCGTTATTTTGTTGATTTTTAGATGCATACTTGGAGTCACTATGATGCAGGAAAATGAAACCATCAATTAGCATCTAGTGGACGACTGAAGGGTTTTTGAACCCAAACTTTGTTTTGAAGTATTTACGACCTTATCCAAAAAATCCTCAGTTCCATATGAGGAAAACAAATCCAGCATGACCAAGGCACCACTTTGTTAAAAAAATCCCTGACATTTTAGAAGGGGTATGTAAACTTTTGAGGAGCACCGTATGCATAACATGCAGTGAGCATGTATGCTATGCAATTAAAGCAGTAAGTAGGGGCAATTAAAGCCCCTTAATGTTAGTTAAATATAAAGCCTTAACTAGTCCAACCTTTAAAAATCTAAAATTCAGCATTTTAGGTTTTAGTTGTTGGTTTTTACTTGAGTTGAAATGTGTGGAAGACTTGTGTCACTCACCCAATCGCCTGAAAAGCCTTTTTCTCTTTTATTTTTTTACATCTTTAAGGCTTTATTGTGTTTTTGAAAGTTGTGGTGGACTCATCTATTTCAGTGACTGAAAAACACAAACAATGACCAACCTACGCTCCCTTGTACAGATGTTTTCGAAAACAAGTGTTTGCTGTATTAATAGTTTAGTTTGAGACTGCGTGTTAGGAAGTTTCATACTTAGTCAACATCACCTCCTGCAGGCTTTGTTCGGGTTAGTTACACTGAGGAAGTATGTTGAGTTCCATATTTTAAATGGGTTTTTTTATGTTTAATCTTTAAGTTGTATGTTTTTTTTTCTTCTTCCCAGAATGTCACTGGTTCAGCATTATTTATATTCTGAAGGTAAAATGAGTGCTATTGTGTTAATTTGTAGAATTTGAGTTAACTATTATTAATTCCGTTGGGTTATTGGAAAAGTGTTGAGTTATCGCTCATTTGTTTAAATGAAGCTTCCAAGAACCTGTACTTGAAGTCTTTCAAAGTGTTTTTATCAGTTTTTCAGAATTTGGCTGCCTTTATTGTTTTACTTAATCATCTGACCATTTTCAGAAGAAATCTTTTTTTTTTTTGTTCTTTAATTGTTTTTTTTTTGTTGTTGTTGCTATTTAAAGATGGTGTTAAATGATGAACCACAGTTTGATCTGAAGACACTCAAATTTATCTGGTTGCTTTTTAGGCCTGAAGCTTCCTTTCCCCTAACTTGCCCTCGCTTTGCTCAAACGCTTCCTAGTAGAAAACAATAGATTAAAAAAAAGAATCCAAAAGTTTTTGATCAAGAGCCAAAGTGAAAAGGTTACACCTAGAAAATTAACAAATTAAGTTTTATTTCTGATGAGACTATCTACCTCCAGACACAACAACACAGCATTATGCTGGTTCATCCATTTTGATTTTAAAGTGAACTGGGATTTAAAACTTGTATTTGTACCACAGCAAGTTTATAAGAATGATTTCTCCTTTGGTGTGTTCACCCTTATGAACTTTTGAAAATCCAAACCGTGACATGTTATCTGTTTCTCTCCTTTTTATCTGATGCTGCATTTCTTCTTGTTTTTTTTGTTGTTTTTTTTGTAAACATTATTTGTGACACAAAGTGAGCGTGGCTCTTAACAGCGTCGAACTCGCTCTTTATTCTCATAAAGTGTGAATCTACAGAAACTAAAAATAGTATTTAGTGACACCAAGTCAAACTTCTACTCTGTTTTAAGCACACAAGCATAAGCACATGACACTGCACCAGCGTGAAAATGTACAATAGATGTTTCGGTTTTCATAAATGTTGCTGATGTCGACTATGGCATCCAGGTCAATCAGCATGCTGGTTAACCATGACACCTTTTACACTCTGCACAGAAATGAGCAGTGCAAAGTGTTTGGACTTGTCCTCTAATAAATAAAACATTAGATGCTATATATACTCACATAGCTTTAGTGAGTGGGTGTGTGCTTTTACACCTGCAATGAAAAATTGATAGACACTAATATCGTGCCTGTCTCCAATTCCCCAGTATAACTACGTAATAGACCTAGCATACATTAATACTGTTGCTGTGTAAGAAAAAAACTCGATGTAATCGACAGAAGTTTTTCTCTTTTATATATTTATTAAGTTTTCAAAATACAGCATACATGAATTATACACAAGAGTATAAAGCATATCTGTATTTAGCAAATTACTGTATAAGGAAAAATATACTCTTAGCAATATGACAATAACGCAAATAAAAACGTACAATAACTACAAATAAAATAAAAACAAGTCAGTGCAATTATAACTGGTTAAACTGCACTGATTACCATTTACATTTTAGGACGGTACTACCTTTCTATAAAGACACGGAACCAACGTGCACCTATACACTTCAGAGAACAAGTTGGAAATGTCACACCAATACTGGAAGAGTTCGGTTCATGACCAGAACAGACGTGACAGGGAGCCATCAGCCGACTTGCATTTATCACATTTAGAAGATATTGAGGGGAACATTCTGTACAGTTTCATCTTAGAATAGTGGAGTCTATGAAACACTTTGAACAGAATTAACTGGTGCTTTACATCAATAGAGCATGACCAAATCCTCCCAAGATCTCCCAGATCTCACTCCTAATCTGCAAACCCAGCTCCTCCTCCCACGCAGCCCTCATGGAGTTTGTGGCAAAGTTAATTTGCTCTGCAAAGATGTCAGCAAAGCTTGAACTTGATACTTTTTATTCTGGAAAGCCCAACAGCAGCTTGCATATCTTTTTTGTTTTTTTTCTTCCAGAAGAAATTCAAGATGTTAATTCGAACAAAATTTCTAATTTGAAAATATCTGAAAAATTCTGCATCCGGAAGTGAGAAACATTCCTTCAACATGGCAAATGAAGCAAACTTTGACAGGAGTTTCTTTTTAACAAGTGAACAATACCTGGTGTTAAAGCTATTTATTTTTGTATAACCTGGTGTTCATAGAAGTAGTTTTAGATCAGTGGTTCTTAACCTGGGTCCTATCGAACCCCAGGGGTTCGATGAGTCGGTCTCAGGGATTCGGCGGAGCCTCTGCCGCGGAAGTAAAGACACACTTGCGTAAAGTAGTGATGACATCTTGGTCATCACTTGCTGCAGAGGACCACATTACATTGCTTGGCCAGTGAGTGCTGCGGGGAATTTAGTGCGCACAGTAGTCAAGGGCTGTCATAGTTGTCTGTCGTGTGGTTTATTTCTTAATATTTTAATCCATACTAAATATGTCGAGCAAAAATAGAAGAAAAGGAACAGACTTTGCTGTGAAGATGACATGAGAGTAGCACTTGCCAAGGTGAAGCCACACACGTCTGAGCTGGTCTCCCAAAAACAACAGCAGAAGTCACACTGATTTGCAGGTATGTAATTTGTTCAATGCTGTATTCCTCCAAAAATCCAAATTTATTTTTAATTAGTAACATAGTAGAATATTTTTTTTGGAGCTGAAATTCTTTTATGGGGCTGAAATAGTTTTTAGGGGCCAGAATAAAGTAGTACCGCAACTTGTTGTGAGTTCATGCACCGTGTTGGTTTGGTTCATTGAGCAAGGTGATATTCATGCAGGGCTCATTTTGTGCACCAGTAAAAAAAAATAAAAAAATCATATACCTATGTCTTGAATTTGGAAAAAAACAAAAAATCATATTTTATTCATCACTAAAGAAGGGTTCAGTGAATGCGCATATGAAACTGGTGGGTTCGGTACCTCAGAAAAGGTTAAAAACCACTGCTTTAGAAGTGTATGTTGAAAACATTTGTTTATGCTTAAAGTTATTCATTGTTATTACTTTTTTCATAATGACTCTGCCTTTCATCTCATAAGCTGAGGTATTAGAGGTCTCCCTAGTTACACTGGAGTTATTTCTATGCTGAAACAA